AGCCTAAGCACGCAGCCAGTTTAGCACCCATTGCAGCTCGAGGCGGATCACGACCTAAACCCTAAACCCTAAACCCTAAGGAATCCTCCCCGACTTCAACCGAGGCTCTGCTTTGCCAGGCCCACCGGGAGCCGGCTGACCAGAAGCAGTCCAGGACTGGCCAAGGTCAAGCCCACCAAAGCCTTGCAGCTTTAATGTAGGGGCCTAAATAAGGTTTGGGGTTTAGGGTTTAGGATTTAGGGTTTAGGGTTTCGGGTTTCGGGTTTAGGGTTTAGGGTTTAGGGCTTTAGGGCTTTAGGGTTTCAGGGTTTGGGGCTTAGGGTTTAGGGTTGCAGGAAGCATGGGGCTTTCTCTGATAGCCATGCGATGCTTAAGCTAAAGCTCTTTTCCACTCGAATCATTAAATCTATCTGAGCCGTTTAAGTATAGTTACATCATGCGTATAATACACTTAGGTTATAGTTAGGACATACGTACGTTGCGGAATGCGGACAGCGGCTGGAGGTCCATGGATGGAACCTGTGCATCCGAAACTGCCGTCTCTGAAACGCCTTGCCTTACAACCGCAGGACCTCTTGCATAGGATTCCTTTTAACGGTGGCTCCTATGAAGTGCTGACTTCCACCATATACTTTTTGGGCACTCGCGCTCGACAAGGCACACCAAACCCAACGAGACCGAAGTGTAAAGTTTAAGCTTTCATAAGTAGTTATATAAGATCCGAAGAGCTTTTCAAAGTTTAGCAGTGAAGAACGAACACAACATCCGCACACCCTGATAATCCTGAGATCACGGGAAAGAACCAACAAAGCGCAACACCCGTTCCCGATCCTTACACAGTTGAACATTACGCTGGCTCCACAGAGATGAGAGGCCAGCCCATAGCCACATGCTCCACAGGCGCTACACAAGACGAGAATCACCTGCGGCTGGGATGTTTGGCCCTTTGTGATCTTGGGGGCGGGCTTGGGACCTGATTCGAAACCCTGAACTGTAGGGTTTAGGGTTTGGGATTGGGGATGTTGCGCCTCCCACCTAGCTAGTCCTGGGATTTGATTAGGGTTTAGGCTTCAGGGTTTAGGGTGTAAACCGGGGGTTGACTCAACCGTCCTTCTTTATCCTAGTACGGGGATTCTTACTACATGCCTTGCGAAGCGGCGGTTTTTATGAATCAAGCGTCTCCATCCCACTCTTTCTCTCTGCTTCAGGGTTCAGGTTGAGCCAGCACGACTTCGGCTTGAATGCCCAGGCACTCTGCTACCTATCTCCAGTGAGAAGCCGAGCGAGGTATGATCCCTTGTGAGGTGGAGACTCCAGGAATGCAAGCAAGGCCTGGTGGCTACGAATGTATCGATGCTTGCTTCAGTTGCTTCACATACCACCGGCCAAAAGCAAGCGTGATCTAGTGCTTGCGTGTTTCGGCTTTCTGGCTGGAGCCCCCCGCGCAACCAAAAGTAACCCTGCAGAACCCTGAGGACATCTTCAAAACCCCGGGAAATCCTATCATAATTCGTGCCCAGCTTGACCTGTGGAACCCCTCCAAAGACATCCCCGGCCTTCCTCCCCCATTTGTCCGAGAGCCGCGGTAGCACGATGGCACCAATCCACTGACCGAGGCCATAGACGGTCTCCAAACTCCCGATCCTCGAACTTCGGAGGTGGGGATTTAAGTTTTAAGGCTCAGGACTTAGGGTGTAAAGTTTAGGGTTCAGAGTTCAGGGTTTCGGGTTCAGATTTTAGGGTTCAGGGTTTCGGGTCCAGGGTTTAAGGGTTCACTTAGGTTCAGGTTTTCGACGCTTACGCTCGGACGAGTCCAGGCAAGGTCTGGGGGCAAGGGTTCGAGGTTTAGGTTCCAATCCACGACTTTCGGTGCTCTTTCAGATAAACACAGGGCTTTCAGTGAAATCCAATTCCCGTTTTCCGCCTTAGGGATTAAATAGGATCTTTAGGGCTTAGGGTGTAGGGTGTAGGGCCATTGTACGGTGTAGTATTGAGAATTTGGGGTCCGGGTTTGCTGCAGGTGACCCACACATTCCCTAACCCGAAGCTGCAGCAACTGCCATGGCCAAGGTTTGTGGCAGAAGGACGCATGCTCTGTGGAAAATATTAATCACTCACTGCACGCTGGCAAGAAGCATGGTGCTGGAGCCACCCAAAGCCTTCGCATGGAAGGGAAGACATACTCGCATCATCGTCACGAAGGAGTAATCGAAAATCACAGCGGCAAGCACCAGCCACAGCACATGTCGGTTCGTCGCCATGGCCGGCTTTCTCTGAAATCCAACAACACCTATAACCTCCAAAAACCCGAAACTCTGCACCTTTTTTTGAGTATTCTTACAACGGAAGCGACATGCTCACAGCACCCTTTTGCATCCAGGCCTATTGCGATTACCTACTCTTTGCATCCCTATAAACCCTAAAGCTCAAGACACATCTGGATTTCAAGGGTGATTCTTTGCAGGCAGGGCCAGGGAGCTTGGTGGAGGCGCGTGGACACGGATTATGGTGTTGCCGCCCCTGTGACCAACCCCTAACCCGAAGTGTACTAGAGTTACTAGAGCCAAAAAGAGAAGAATCTAACCCAAAGTCCCAAAGTCTGCTTGACCCGGAGATTGACCGTGGCAGGTACTGGCCAGCTCAACAGTTCGCCCACGCACGCTCCCGTAGGCAGGCGTTCTAATTCAAGTCTACTTCGTTCAAAACTTCTTGCAACAGTGCTCAATCGGCGGCATCTTTTGCACGAAACGACAATCCGGCACCACGTCAACCGCCTCTGGCCATGAAGCAGCCTTCCCTCCGAAGAAATTCCCACGGCTTCGGCTGAATAGCTTGTTGCCGAGAACTCGTCGCCGAGGCCAGCTCGTAATGCCACCCACCAGGCCAGGCTTGCTATCTTCAGGTCTGTGTTTTTTTCCCTCTCGCATTGTTGAGGTCTGTGTTTAGGGTTTAGGTTTTAGGATGTTTTTTTCAGGTCTCTGGCTCCCAGGACTTGCGCGGCCCGTCGCAGTGGATCTGAAGCAGTTCAGCGCAACATTCCACTTCTTCCAAGCGAGGCAGCCAAACGGACGGGTAAACCGATGTGGACGTCTACACGGCGGGTGGTCACCTGACAGTTCCGATGATAGTCGTGCTAATTGCGCCGAAGACTAATGTAGGGCGCAATCCACTGACAGAGGCTCCTCTAGCAGCAGTCGTGGTCGTCTCAGTTGAGTCCATGCAAAGGGGTCTGCACCGAAGTGGAGGACAAAACGAACCATGTGGCAGTCTCTCTTCTTTGCTGGGAGATGGAGTGGATAGGTTCGGTACAGGACCGCCAGACGGTTGACATCGAAGCTGTCACTGTGAGTGCCGTCGTGTTGCAGGAACTTGTCCTCTTGAGTCCTGGCCTGCCGATTAGATTGCTGCACCCGAACCTTTTGGCACCTGTCGCTTCTTTCTTGCTTCTGCTTCGCTTCCCACCTTGCCACTTGGTCCATGCTGCATTGCAGTGCGTCGTCCTCTTCCAGTGGTCGTCGTGGCGTTCTGGTCCGTCCTTGCTGTCATTGTGTCCGACATCGTGCTGGTCATCCTGTGCTCCATGGTCATGGTAGCGGAGGTCGTCATCGTGGCGGTCATGGACATCGTAGTGGTTGCTCGAAGGAAATCACCTCACCGGCGGAACTTCGCTGCTTTGGCTCGGGATCTCATCCATCTCAGCCTGGCTTCAGAACCCTTTGGAGGAAAGGGCCACATCAGGGCAAGTAAGTGGTGTTTGGGGATCGTATCCGCAGCTTGTGAACGCTCATTCTGCAGGACACAAATGAAGCCCTGTAAAAAGCTGCCCGCCTCCCGTTCCTCTCCGCCGCACACTCCACATCTGGCCTGTGCCCGCCTCCTCTTCTTGTCACTGGGTCAAAGAGTCTAAGCTTCAAAATCCTGTGGCTTCGGGTTTCGACTCTCACACTCACACTGGTTTACGGTTTAGGGTGCGCCGCTAGAAATACTACAGCCCTAGCCCTTAAGCAAGCGCGGATCATGAAGCAGCAGAAGTCTCTGGAGTAGCAACGGCTCTGGAAAGTCAGATCCCGCCACCCCGGACGCACGACGAAGTCCTCCTCTTCCTGTGTGCGATGGAAGAGCGGCGGCCCAACCGAACAGAGAAGATCGCAACATTGCCTTGGATCTAAAGGCTCCGTTAAAGCCCCAAGCACTACGTACTAAAACTCTACATTCCTAAGCTCTTTGATTTCGAGCCCTACACCCTCAAACCCGAGACCTTGAAATTGAAACCGGACCTCCTACAAGTCCTACAGCCCTGAAACCTAAGATCTGAAATCCGCCAAGTCCGTTTCCGCCGAGTCACGCGGCCGCGGGACAGCGAGATGTGTCGGCAACGAAGCCGCAGCCAGGCGTTTGCACGAGAAGCCTCGACTGTAGTGCCTAGGTTACCTACCTGTCCAGTATCCTGGGGAAACGAACGGTTTAGGGTTTAGTATCTAGGGTTTAGGGTTTAGGGGGTTTAGGGTTTAGGGTTTCTTGACAGTATCTGAGGACTTTCGTACCCCAAAAAGGTTAAAGGATACCCACCCCACTGCTGAGTTAGGGCAAGGTCTCCAAAGGCTTTGGGTTTAGGGCTCCTGACTCAGACCCAGAGAATGCTTCTGGCTCGGTAATGTAGGAGTCTTAATAATTAGAACAGGGTTTTCGGGTATATTCTACTATGATTATAATCAGGAACCCAAAAATAGTATAGGCAGCAATAGGTAGTTGGGAAGGCCTCTATATTATGGGTATAAGTAGTCGCTACAGAGAGTAGGTGCCTTGGGTTGCAACTTTCCAGTTTGATTGATTGCTCACAACCCTACCTGCCTGCGTCTATGAACCAAGTCCGGCCAAGACATTTCCTCCAAGTAAGGCTGAGCCGGTTATTGCACGGCTACGTAAACTTGCGCACTGCAGAACCAACCGTGCTTGAGGAGCCCAGTCGCCGAGAACTGCTAACTAGCCCTGGCGCCTCCCGACTTCCCAATGCGCGCTGTAATTACTCGGTGAAGCTCATTTTCGACATATTCCTGTAGATCTGTGGGACTGCTCAGCGTTCAGATGGTACACTGTGCTATTTTCCGAAGCCCGTCCCTTCCGAAGATCGTTCGGACTGGGCCAATGCCCTGATTACATAAATCTGGGGGCTGGGGGTTCAAGAGAACTGTGATCTGCAACGCCATCCGGAAAGTGGCTGGCTCCTTAAACAGACTTGGCGATACCTCAAGTCTTATGAGGGCTTTTCTAAGCTAAACTGCTTGGTTCTGTAAGGTCCCGGATGGTCCCGGTAGGGTCCCTGTCGCTTTAATCGGGCGGCCCCTCCGTCGGCACAGCGCGCGGAAGCGGGGCAGCTCAAGAACTTCTTCCCGCAGGGTGGCCATGCAAAAGTAACCTTCCATTCCGAGGTATAGGGCTTGAAGAGTTTTGGGGTTTAGTTTATAAAAGTCTTAGTTTGGGGTTTAGGCTTCGGAATTCAAGGTTTAAGGACTGCACAGCCTCAGAGCTTGGACACTGCCTTCTAGCGCTTTCAGGTTAAGGTGATAGCGTCCTTCCGAGGGAAAGTCTAAAGCTCGAGACACAAAATCAGACTACCTGTATGCCAGCCGGCGTGACCTAAACGCATCCCACAAGGTATACATTTCAGATAGCAGTACAAAACCTGTGCATGGGTCGGCGAAGCTATACAAAGAACAGCAACATGTAGATTCGGGCAGATTCTTACAGTCGCATCATATGAGCATGCATGATAATCTGCTCAGAACTGCATTTCATGGTCCAAATCTGCTACAGCCCTGAAACCCCAAACCCTAAACCCCATCCTCTTTGAAGTCCTTTGTCGTTCTGATTGTCTTATGTTTATTTGCCAAGCGTCGCCGGAGCTCTACGGCTATGAGCAGCCTCACGCTTCGGCGTCCTTGCCCAAAGAGCCCGGGCTTACGATGTGTTGCCTTAGGGGTTCAGGGTTTTAGTGTTTCGGGTCAGGGTTTAGGGTTTAAGCTTTAGGGTTTAGGGTTCAGGGTTTTGAGGGTTTCGGGTTAGAGTGTTGAGAAGACGGCTCGCCTACATCGCACAAACAGCTTGACAACTGCGCCAATAATCCTTCTGCTGCAGCAGTCAACAAACAGCAGCACCATAGTGTCATCTTACTCACAATGGCCAAGCAGTGATGTCAGGACTGAGAACAATGCCTGCCAAGGACAAGTGCAGCAATGATGCTGATGATGATGCCGAGAACAGGATGCACATTATGCAAATTAACTTGCTGAACCAAGCCCCTATTTGCACCAAGTATAGACAAAGATTCTCGGCATGATTCGAGAGCCACCTGCAACGCACGTGGCAGCAGAGGCTCTTCCAAGCTGGAACTGCGCAGGCGTTCGGAACCACCTTCTCTTAGCTCTCTCCATCCAGGTCCAGGCTTAAGGTAGGGGCCTTAATAATTAGAATAGGGTTTTTGGGGATAGTATAATATAACGATATTAACGAACCCCCAAAATATCCCCAAATAGTAAAGGCAATTAAGGCCACTATAGTACGGGGAAACTGCTCCATCTCAAGAGTTTCCGTTTTGGGGGCTCTGTTTGCTTTTTGAGAGCCCAATCTCCGGGCTTCGGGTTCGCACTTCAGAATTTACAGCTTAGGTTTTGCCGCAATCATGTTTGCAACATGTATTTTATCATTACTATTATTATTATTATATCTATTACTATGATTTCAAGACCAAATCCACTCCGCAAACAGACTAGGAAGAAACGGCCCGGCCCTGCGCGCAGAAGGAGTTCTCAAGGACCAGGAAACTTTAAACCCTGAACGCATCTTCATCACTCAGCTCCTCATCTTCGAAGTACAAGAATTCTTAAACCCCCAGTCTTGGCCCTTCGGAACAGCTTGCGAAGAGTTCGTCCCAACAACTGAAGGAATTGTTTCGCAGCAGCCTAGAAATCGTCAGGAGGGTCTGCATGAAGCACCTCCGCACAGAGGGTTCGGGGACTGATCCAAGAATGTGCCGATGCTATCCTGGTGACGACTGCTTGCTCGAATGGCCGGCGATGATAAAGACGAAACTGGTTTCGGTTCCTTTATGGGGTTTCGGGTGCAATAGTCTGCTTGATGTAGGCGCCTCTATCAGTAGAGGAGGGTTTGGGAGATAGGACCACTCATATGGGGGGCGACTGTTACGAATTTCTGCCGACCCCTATATTGCAGGTGTAGGTACTCATCCCGTTTTTTGCATCTAACATCATCCAACTCAACGGTCTTACAAGGAATCCTGGTTACCAGGTCGAGACTCCATGCAAGGAAAGGTTCACATTCCCCCCCGAGCGCAACCTTTCCAAAACAAGCCTCAAACTCGCGGTCCCGACCCCCCTAGACCCCCAAAACCCGGTGGGCTGAAAGATAGGAGATTTTGACACCCTAATTTCAATCGTTTAGGGTTTAGGGTTTAGGAACCCAACAAACTAGAACCCAAGAACACCGAACAACCCAAAAAAGCGCTCCACCTGCAACCCAAGCAGCTCTGCCGAACCCTCTGAGCGAAGGGGGTCTGAGCAGAGAAGCAGCGCGACGCGACGGAGATCGCGAATGTCCTGGCTCTGCATTTGCGGGCTTTGGGGTTTCAGGGTTTAGGGTCAAGCTGCGAACTGTAGGGCTCAAGGCTTGGGGTTACATGGGCCGGGTATGTACGCGATCGGGGTTTGAAGCTTTCCAACGATACTCTCCAACTTCGTTCCTCGTCCCTGCTCTCCCGTTTTTATGGTTTCGACCCATGGCCCAAGAGTAAGGAAACAGGAACCCAAAAATGAGCTGCAATGGAAAGCATCCGTTGGGTTAAGGATCCTTCGGGCGTACCGAGTTGTAGGCAACAGCCCTATCACCGGAGGGTATAACCGGCAAATGGACGTGTTAGTACTTATTCAGCAGACCCTGCAACGCGCACAGCCCTAAAACTCCAAAAGCGAACTCCGTCACTGAACTACATCGTCTCGCTTCCCACCTGTCTCACCACCCGTCACCTGGACGGTCTCTGATGCAAGTCCAGAGGCATTTGCCTCTGCCTCAAACCCCAAAGACTTCAAACCCCAAAAAAACCCACAAACCTCCTTGAACCCCCCAAAGTCCCGCACCCTAAAGTTACAGACTGTAAAAAAAAAAAACCTTAAGACCCAAAAACCCCAAACCCCGGACAGATACCCTAAACCCTTTTTTTTTGCATCTGGTTTGCAGCGACTCAACCAGGACGGAAACAAGAAAACCCCGAAACCCTAAACCCTAAAGGCCTCAAAACCCCAAAACCCTAAGCCCCCCCCCGAAAGCTGCAGCCCTTGGGACCGCCTTCCGACGCCAGCTGTACTCCGAAAAGCTCCCTGGCTGCATTTAAGGTTTAAGGTTTGAGGTTTAGGGTTAGGGCCTGGGGTTTTCGGTTGTAGGGTTTTTGAGGTTTTAAGGTTTCGGGTTTCGGCTTTAGGGCTTCGGGTTTCGGCGGTTTGGGGTTTCGGGCTTTGCATGTCATCCTTGCGCAGGGGAAGGGGATCTTACCTGTATCGTTCCAATTTTATCGGACAGGAGCAATCCCCTCACGGCTCGATCGGCTTGAGGGGCATGTGTTCAGGATTTGGGATTTGGAGTTTGGGATGTATGCCTTCACGATCTCCCAATCTACATGGTTCGCGTCTTGCCTTCCTGCTTCTTAGGTACGGTTGATGATATAACTCCTGCACTACCCAAAATAAACAATAGACCTTAATTCCCATGGTTTAGGTTCCTTAAGGTACTGTAATGCAGGATTTAGACCATCAACAGTAGTGCCTTTGGCCAGACACGGACAACTCCACAACCCGACCGTCCTAAGCACCCCAGACCGCCGTGGTGCCTAAAGAATCGAAGTCCTGAGCCCACACCCTGAACCAAGGGTTCAAGGCCTTAAGGCCTCCGAGGTGTCTGAGGTGGGCTTTTGGGGAGGGAGTACCAGGGCTTTGAGGGGCTCGATTCTGCTTTTGCATGCCCCCTCCGGAACTCCAAGGACAATGACGACTAACTCTGCCTGCCCATGCATGCCCGCAACTCTGCGAGAACGGTTCTGCTGCATGTTTGAGGACACTCTGCCTTGCATGCTACAGGGCTAAATGCTAGGTTCGAACTTGGGGCTAACGGGCAATATAAACATACAGATGATAAGAGTCCTAATGGTCCTAATGGAGAAGAAAGACAGTCGTGACACTCGCGACAGTGACAACGACTAATAAGACTAGTAGTTATAACAGTGACAATGACGAATAAGACTAATAGTCATAGCAATGCTCTCAAAAGAAGAACGGACAAGAACGAGAAGAAGCAGGCCATGAGTGCGTGGGGCCGGAATAGGCTGCAACGACTATTGGTGTTGGGATCAGGGGTTTGAGGGTCGTGAAGCCGCGACAGCCCTACTTGCATGATCGGCCTCCTTGCCAGTGTCGCAACAGCACGGCGCCAGCTCCATTCCGGCGCAGGTTGACCTCGGAAAGCCCTAAACCCTAAACCCTGAACCCTGAAACTCTGAACCCGAAACACTTTTCACTAATCCCGCAATCCTGAACCTGAAACCGTGTTCAGTTCCGCGTTGGGGGATTTATGAGGCTGGAGTCTTGAGATATTCGTTGTGAGTCCGCCCGCTTCCCGGAAAACCCTGAACTTCAAGCCACTTAGCAATCGCTTCGACTGTGGCATATGCAGCTCTGTACTTATGCAGAATAGCGGGCTCCAAATTCAAAGCTTGAGACACAGGCCAGAAGTGGCTGTTAATGTCGGGTGGAAGGCTCAGTTGTTCGTACGGCAACATGGAGAGGCGGCTCTGGGATGTAAGTGCTGCAGATCTCTGCGTCGCATCAATTAGCGGAAACTACAGGTCGGGAGTTTAGGGTATATAGGGCTTCTATAAGGCTTCTATAAGATGTATAGACCTTCTAAAGGCTCCGATAACCGCAACTACCCACCTGAAAATGTCCTAGACTCAAGGGCGTCATCGCTTTGCCTCGGCCGAGGCACAGCCGCGTTCCGCAGCACCGCGTCCTCGGCGTCCGCGGCGAAGACGCGCTTGGCGACGCGAGCCGCGGCGATCTGAAGGCTATGAATTAAGTCTCCAGCTGGGATTGTGGTCGGGCCTGAATAATTACAGCGACTCTGCAGGGAGGGTAGTGATACTATGACAGAGCTTATTAGGTTGAAGTGACTGACGTTGATGGCGGGCAGGCAATAAACCCAAAGCCTTGCAAACCCCTCAAGACTCGAAACCCTAAGCCCTAAAACGTACAAGGGCCGAAACCTAGATTCAAGCCAGGCGCCGACGGCAAGGCACAGCCACAACCCAGGTCCAAGACCTTGACAAGAGGGTTCTAAAGGCTTCGGGTTTGCGCGGTCTTGGGCTTCGCTTTTTTGCGATAAGGAGTTTCTAATAAGGGAAAACTCGAGGGTTGGACTGTCAGGGCGACGATAGGGTTTCCGAAGGCTCAGGTTTCGTGGTACATGATTTCAGGTGTAGCCACATTGTAGTCAGTGAGGGTCGTGGGGGGTGCGCAGTCCATGTCAAGTTCGGATCGGGGCGAGGTTTTGGGGCTTCCGACTGTGACTGGGCATCCGTCAGTGACCGTTGGTCACGATGAACGATGAACGACAGACCCTAGAATAGAAGGCAGCACTGACATGTAGGAATTCCAAGTATGTCAGTCCTTCCAATCTGTAATTCGCCCTCAAGCCACAAACCATCAACCCTCTAGCAAGTTTCTGGTCTTTTCTGGGGAAAACCACAAGCTCTGCCCCTTCCGCAGCAAGTACCATCCTAAACTAACAACATTCGAGCAGGCGGAGGTCTGTGCTCGAGTCCGTAACACAAGGGCCTTAGCTTTGGGGGGCCTACTGTGGTATAACAATACATGGACTACAAAGGGATACTCTGACCAATGATTCCAGCCTCCGTTTTAAGATGATCCCACTTGGAGTAGTAGGTTTTGTGGTACGGGTATGCCCATAATCGCACCAAAACGCATTCCCTGTCGGAGCTATATTAAGCATGATCATTGTTAATCCTTATTTGGTTTTGTTGTAACAAACACTTAAAATTGTATCCAACAAGGACCCAGAAAAGTATACCGACATCCGGAATTCAAGCCCTGCTTCAGACTTCACTTGGAGATCCCAGGCGCCACACGGCCTTGTGCCAACGTCGGCCTTGCCAGGAGGACCTGGCAACGGACAAGAATCCCTTGGGCCGAGGAAAAGGGTTGCGGAAATGTGCAGGGTCTAGGGCGGCCCAGAAACAATTCTGAAACAACGAATGTAATGCCGTAATTCTGTATGGTAATTTGGGCATCGAGCTGTCGGGAAGTGACACGCTCGCCCCGTGCTATTAACAGGCAGTCGCGTATTCGAGGCTTGTCAGGGTTAGGGAGCTCAAGTAGTTCGCCATGTTCGGTCTACGCGCGTGTACGGCTTCAAGTACGAGTAGTGGAGCCCGAAGCCAGGCCATGAGGCTGAGGAACCCCACAGTCCCCCCGACCCTCAAGCCCATACCTACAACCTCCCAACGTCTTACAAGGTCAACGGGCTTTCCAGAAAATATCTCTGTCTCACAAAACCCCCAAAACCCCAAGCACACAATTGCCGGGGGACATCGGCCAAGCGCACGTCGCAAGCCCAAAGGCTCAGCCCGGCGGGCAGTGTAGTTTCCTCAGTGGCGGTTCGGACTTTTCAACACCCTGGAACATCTGGAAACCTCCAAAACTGCTGCGAGGGTGACGACTGACGACAGTGCATTCAGAGCAAAGGTTTGGCACTTCGTCACATCACCGTCACCAAGATCCGCACAAAAACATCCAATCCTGATCACCACTAACTAAATATCGTCAGCGTCTTGATCGGCATTCTTGTCCTCATCGTCGGCAATGGCACAAAGAAGATGCACCAGATAACTTGCAGGGGCCAGGTTAAGACTCGCGGCGACATCTGACGTCAGCCAGGTCCCACCAGGGTGGCGCAGCTTGATCTCCATCTCCTCAGCTTCGGGCAGCGTATGTGCAAGTGTTTTTTCTACAGGCTTTAGCATTTTTGTTTGGCACCCGATGTTTATAAGTAAGGGTGCGAGATCTCGCCAGGTTTTACAAAGCTGTTAGTTGGGTGGGTTAATGGCTTAGAGCTGTCGGGGGAGTGGCCTGCTCAAGCCACTGAACCACATTCTAAATCAAAGCTGACATTAAAACAGACAGTGTCATTGAACCCTATCACACCTTTGGCGTTCGTTCAATCCAAAAAGCCCAGGAACGACGCAAATCCGCGCTGATGTCTCCGACGGCGGAGGGCTAAGGTCCAAGTCTCCTAGCAATGGGCGTTCGGGTCGTTGTAATTGGTTTGGGGTTTAGGGTTTACTGTAGGGTTTAGAGTTTAGGGCTTAGGGAACTAAAGCGGCTCTTCTCTTCGCGTTTAGGACATGGGTTTTCGCCTTATGGTTCTCCGCTGCATCAAACCAAAACTGAAAGTCCGAGTCTCAGTTCTTCTTGGAGACGAGATGCCCCAGTACAGATGGGGCAGGGCAATACGATTGATGATATAAATCCTGCATTACCTATAATACGGAATGTACCATAATTCCCATAGGTTACGGTCCTGAAGGTAATGCAGGAGTTATATCATCAACAGTACAAAGGCCGGGCTGACTAGAAGAAACAGCTTGGATCACAGTGCGGCAGCCATACATGGAATCCAAATGAAGTATATCTGCGGTTATTTGACAGTTATTTGGGCTCCTACATCTCGCAGACAGCGTTACAAGGTTGGGGCCTCTAGACCTCGATCTCGGGAGCTGTCATCTTAGGAATCCTCCAAGTCGAGGTCTCTAGGAGAGACTGCTGTGGCAAAGCTTCAACCTGGAAAAAGACCATGAGACCTAAAAGACTTCAGGGTGTCAATATCTGCAAATAACCATCCTCCTAGAGGCGCAAAACCTGCCCAGCTTGGGATTTATGTTCAGGGCCTGCGTAGGCAGAAGAGGAGAGCTGCAACGAGCGGAACCGCAAACAAGCCCGAAGTACAGAGTAATTACGGCGGACGACTGGATCAAACTTCGTCTGCGGCAGCTGGTGTTGATTTAAAAACTTCTTATCTTCCTCTTTCGACAAACATTCATGCAGAGCATGAAATAAAGTCTGAAGCTCGACCTTGAAACTGCGGGACCTGGTTTCCGCAAATCCTGAAGGAAACATGCCAGAGCCATGCCATGTCTATGGAGACAAAAGCAACAGAATTGCGGAGACAAGGACCTAACTGCTTGAACTCTTGACCCCCAAAACTGCTGGAGCAGTAGCCCTACATCTCCGCCAACCCCGCCCAGGGCACCATCTGCATCGACGCTCGAAGCGCGAAACGGCTCCCGCAAGACCGGCAGGGAGGAGGTGCGCTGGATCTGAGTCCTTCCAAACTTGAGGTTCAGAGTTTACGCTCTCGCAACTCGGACCGTAGAGTGTTAGAGTTTAGGGTTCACGATTTAAGGGCTGTGGGGCTTTCCATTGCTGCTTCGCCTCCCGGAAGACATAAGGCTTGACCCAGGCTTCTGCGAGCCGGTGAGTGTCCGAGTGTCAGGATTCGACGCATCATAACCTTTCCGCTCCAGAAAGTAAGTGGGTAGTTCTCTAAATTAGGGTCCCTTTTTGGGTCCCTAATATAGTACGGCACCCTTGTAAACAGGACCCTACAAGGGACCCTATGTTAGAGAACTACCCAAGTGGGGATCCTTTCCTGCAAGGTGGCGTTGCTGCGCAGAACGAGGCATCCCCGCTGGTCTTGGCTCGCACGGCAAAGAACTTCAAGGTTGAATAAGTTTATAAATTCAAATGGGTTATATGTAGTTATATAGAGATTATAATCTTTGAAACTTAAAAATGGTTGAGGATGTTGCATCTGCAGAAGGAAATACCGGTTGCTGGTACCGGGCAGAGAAATGATCCCTTCTCACATCCCCGGCCCTACAAGCTTGCTTTTCAAACAGGCTGAACCCTAATTATACCCCAAACCATTGACACAACATGAGAACTCCTCCATTCACTAACGAAACCAGCAGATTTGCAACAAGGTGGGAGTCTCAAGACAGTGCGACCTCAGCAAACAAGCAACTCGGTTGAACTACCAGCACCTGTCAATTATAAATCTTATAGGCCCAAGAAATGAAACAGATTCAGGTTCAGATGCGAAAGGACATCGCACGACATCTTAGGACTCCTGGTCTAGAGTCTAGGGGCCTGCGGTTTAGGCACCTTGGGGCCTCGCAGGGAATCCGCGAACCGGAACCAGAAATCGGAAGTCCTGAACCCGCCACTCGAGCACCGTTTTTCCAAACCGGACTCAGGGCCGGATGTGGGGTTAAGGGTTTAGGGCTTGGGGGTTTTGGGGTTTAGGGTTGGGGGGTTTTGGGGTTTGGGGGTTTTGGGGTTTAGGGGTTTAGGGTTTGGGGGTTTTGGGGTTAAGGGTTTGGGGGTTTTGGGGTTTGGGGGCTTGGGGGTTTTGGGGTTTAGGGTTTGGGGGTTTTGGGGTTTGGGGGCTTTGGGGTTTAGGGTTTGGGGTTTGGGGTTTGGGGTTTAGGGTTTGGGGTTTAGGGTTTGGGGTTGGGGGCTTTGGGGTTTAGGGTTTGGGGTTTGGGGTTTGGGGTTTAGGGT